CACACACACACAGCCTGGTACAACAGTAAACAATAAGACAAAAGCTCTCTGTTTCTGCTGATCGGACCCACATCGCTGCTGTCCTCAGTCTGTAAGGAACACCAGGACTCTACAGGACTCTGCAGGACTCTGCAGGACTCGACATGACTCTACATGACTCTGTAGAACTCTACAGGACTCTCCAGGATTCTCCAGGACTCGCCAGGACTCTGTAGAACTCTACAGGACTCTCCAGGATTCTCCAGGACTCTCCAGGACTCTGTAGAACTCTACAGGACTCTCCAGGACTCTCCAGGATTCTCAAGGACTCTACAGGACTCTGAAGAACTCTCCAGGACTCTCCAGGATTCTACAGGACTCTACAGGATTCTACAAGACTCTACAGGACTCTACAGGACTCTACAGGACTCTCCAGGACTATGGACCCTAGGTATCTATCCTCAAGCTCTCAGCAGCAGGTTCACCTCAGGAGAAAGGTAAATAGTACAGTATAATTTGAAAGTACTTGTTAATTAATGACTGAATGACATCACACAGAACCACGTCTGTGGTACTTTGTGTACAAGTACACATTCTTTAAAATTAGCAGTACAACAGTGTACAAATACTGCAGTACAAGTAACAAACAGAACAATGTACAGAAGTATTGTCTGAAACTGATGACATCATCTGTGATAAAATAAGATGGAGTACAATAATTGAATGTGTTTTATATTTAGTGTACTCTATAACGGTTTATGTATTAATGTGTTTCATATTTAATATATTCATTTATATATTGATTATGTAACATGTTGATCTGATTTAGACTTCAAAGTGGGAAATTAAATATTACCAAAATGAAACTACAAGTAAATAGAAGTAAAAGTAAATAAAAGGACAAATAAAATAAAACATAAATAAACCAAACCAACAAAAGAAAACTTTGTTTTCCTCAATAAACGTTCCAGTGGAGGAAACAGCGCCACTCCGCCGTTGGCGTCCACTCAGTGGTCACAGCGCGTATTACACCTGCAGCTCCGCCGCTGTAACGGTTTGTTGTTCAGCTTCTCCTGCTCCGGCACGGCCACGCATCGCGCATGCGCAATGAGATGAATGGTCGTTAATCCTCCGCTCGGTACAGTAACCGGAGGAAGTAGCATGCTCAGCGGACCGGACCGCTCAGTCTGAACTGTCGGGACTTGCTCTCCTGCTCCGGGTTCTGGTTCTGGTTCTGGTTGGGCCTCCGGAAGATATCTCCGCTGCGCAGTGAGTGAATGCGGGCAGAGCGCACGGAGCTGTCAGCTGAGGCTCCGTGAGGCTCCGTGAGGCTCCGGGAGGCTCCGGGAGGCTCCGTGCACGTCCACCCTGACTGCAATGGGATGCTGCGGGAGCGCGGAGGTAAGAACGGCTCGGGTCAGTCCGGCTCTGCCCGGTCCGGTACCACCCTAACAGTCCTCCATCCCTCCTGAGCACCGGTGCGTGTTTATTTGTTCACCGTGAAAGGGAAACCGAGAGAGGGCCGAGCTGGGATTAGAGCCAGGAGGCTGTAATCCAATTAGCTCGTTTACCGGGTTTACCAGGGCCTGTTACCGGGGCCTGTTACCGGGGCCTGTTACCGGGGCCCGGTTCGGCCCGGTCCCGGTCCTGATCCTGGTCCGGTCCCGGTCCTGCAAGATTTACGGGTTTACCGGGGTCTGTTACCGGTAGATAACCGGTGCTCTGTGATCTGATTAGTGATAACCGGGCCTGAGTCCGATCTGAGACCTGTTACAGGTCTCAGATCGGAGACCTCAGATCGGAGACCACAGGTCGGACCCTGTCCCGGTCCTGCAGACCCGGTCCCGGTGTGACCGTGTGTTGGGGTGTGTTTCAGAGGACAAAGAGAGAATGGAGACCGCTGGAGGACCGGAGCTGCACCGACCTGCCCTGGTTCCTGCTCTTCACCGTCTTCTGCTTTGGCATGGTAACCACCTCAAGCCTCACTCTGATGCCATGTTTACATGAGACATTAATATTTATATTTATTTATACATGATTATTATATATGTTTAACATATAATAATAATTATCATATATATTATATTATTATTATTTATATTTATATATATTTAATGTCTTTGTCACTTAAATATGAAATGATGAATCAATAATAATCAGTTAATCAATTTTAACAACTAACAGACATTTATGACGTTGATGGATCAACAAATCAATCAATAATGAAGTATTACTATTATTATTGTAATGTTTTAATGTGCTGTGAACATTGATGTTTTCATCTTCATATTCATCTGATTGATCTTCATGTATTCATTGATTTAAAGCTTTAACATATGGTGTGTTCAGGTGAACTGGATAGTTTACTGTTCGTGTGTTGACAACCAATCAATGTCACTACTGATTATCTATTGGTCAATAACCAGAGGTCAAGTCCAGGTGTTACACTGGTCCAGCTGTTACAGTGGTCCAGCTGTTACACTGCTCCAGGTGTTACAGTGATCCAAGTGTTACACTGGTTCAGGTGTTACACTGGTCCAGGTGTTACAGTGGTCCAGGTGTTACAGTGATCCAAGTGTTACAGTGCCCCAGGTGTGACACTGCTCCAGGTGTTACAGTGATCCAGGTTTGACAGTGGTCCAGGTGTTACACTGGTCCAGGTGTTACACTGGTCCAGCTGTTACAGTGGTCCAGCTGTTACACTGCTCCAGGTGTTACAGTGATCCAAGTGTTACACTGGTCCAGGTGTTACAGTGCCCCAGGTGTTACAGTGGTCCAGGTTTGACAGTGGACCAGGTGTTACACTGGTCCAGGTGTTACACTGGTCCAGGTGTTACAGTGGTCCAGGTTTGACAGTGGTCCAGGTGTTACAGTGGTCCTGGTGTTACACTGGTCCAGGTGTTACAGTGCCCCAGGTGTGACAGTGGTCCAGGTGTGACAGTGCCCCAGGTGTTACAGTGGTCCAGGTGTTACACTGGTCCAGGTGTTACAGTGGTCCAAGTGTTACAGTGCTCCAGGTGTTACACTGGTCCAGGTGTTACAGTGGTCCAAGTGTTACAGTGGCCCAGGTGTTACAGTGGTCCAAGTGTTACAGTGGTCCAGGTGTTACAGTGGCCCAGGTGTTACACTGGTTCAGGTGTTACGGTTTGTAAAACAGTTCAACCACTGACGGTCTCTTGTCCTGCAGGGCAGCATCTGCAGCTTCACCATCGTCACCGGCGGCGCCGCTCGCCTCGTCTTCGGGTACGACAGCTACGGCAACACGTGTGGACAACGCAACGAGCTGATCGAGGGCGTCCGGCTGAGCGGCCTCGATCACACCGACAGGAAGTAGGTTCTTTACGTTCACTGTGTACTTCTGCTGTACTTTAAGTGTACTACTGTGGTACAGACTCTGTCTGTCTGTTTGTTGTTTGTTACGTCCGCGACTACTATCGATACATTAAAACAAAACAATCCTATTTTAAACGGATTTAAAATGTTATTTAAATTGAATCCTGTGTGTCAAACAAGCTCCTCCTGAAACGATAGATGTCGTTGTCTATTTCCTTCTAAACTAAGACCAGTGACTTCCTATCACATGATGCGTTCAACAATATTCACAATATGGCGTCCCACAAGCAAGCGGCCCTTTACTGTAGAGCATCACCATGTGATCCTGACTGATGATGGATGTATCAGTGTAGACCAGTGGCGGGCTGTGCATTTTATACCTGGGCCTTCTGTGCTGTCCTACTGAGCTACGGTTATTTGTTTCTAGGGGTGTAACATCACGTATTCATATTAAACTGTTCGGTACGAGGCTTACGAACCGAACAATACGTTTGAATAATACTAGTGCATTTGGAAAATACAGAAGCTTAAATTGTGGGATATATAATGTTTTTGGTGGACTGCGCTCACGTAACAGACAACGGGCTGTGACCTTTGAACCTGGAACAATAACAAAAAACAGCTGAGCCCCCGCGTGTGTTCAGGGAGGCTACGCTAACTAGCTTAGCGGGGAAACAACAGCAGTTAGCTGTTCCCTAGTGATTCAAACAGAGAATCAAATGTCCGAAATAACCCCCACGATGACGGGATGCTTCGTCATCGTCAGAATCAATGTAATTAACACAATGACGAGAACCAGTCACATATATTTATGACAACATAAAATGTCAAGCATGACAAATCAATCCAGCAACACTGCAGCGCTAGAGCACGAGCCATTCATATTATTCATAAAAACGACACGATAGACAAATGAGCACAGTAGTAACGTTACTGCAGATGTAAAAACAAAAGCAGTTGACTTACCAAAGCTACTGTTCACTTAAAGACAAAGTCCATCCTCCTTTCTTTGTTAACAAAAATCCGTAACTCCCAAATCCGTTTCTCCTCCTCCTTCAGTCATTGAGTGTTAAAAAAACACAGCTAGGTAAAACAAAAAAAGAATCTACAGCAAGCAAAACGCTAAAAATGTCATAACTTCTCTTACATATGTTTCAACCTGAACTCTTACTAAACACTAAGATCTGCTAGCTAGCTTTCTGTTTGACAAAAGTCACGCTGGCCCACTGACCAATCACTGCGCAGTTAATGCATACGTACTTAGCAGGCTACCTGGGTAGCAGTGGCACGTCAAAGAATACGCCCAACATGTCAAACTAAAGATCTGATTGGTTGAAGACTATGACAATCAACAATATCGTCCCCATTCACTTAACCTGCAAAGGCTCTCTAGCGGGCATCGGGCCTCTCTCCTTACATAGAGACATAGGGGCTGAATCTGATTGGATAAAAGCTCTCCTTAAAACAAGCTGTGCTGGAAGCAGAGCAACAGAGGAAGACAGGAGCTGTGCAATGAGAAAATAAGCTAATGGGAAAAAAAGTTCTAATACATGTAGTGTATTTGTGAAAAATTATTAAATTATAAAATAGCTATAACTTTGTGATTCTGTTTAGGTCAGCAGAGAAGGCTTAGCTGGCCCTGACCGCCCACCACTGGTATAAACTGATGATGGATGTATCAGTGTAGACTTATGATGGATGTATCGGTGTAGACTTATGATGGATGTA